ACTGCAGGTCTAGGGGCTCCCTTGGCTGCAGCTTTTACAGCAGAACCTGCAATGTGTGCCACTGCAGTGGAATGGTGCTATGAATTCTACACCTGTGACACATTCCATTGAACTGTTCAATTACTCAATTAATATTAACTAGAATGAAGAGAATTAATTTTACTAATAAGAAAGAATAACAAGAGTTTGGCTTTCTAAAGAGCAATCTTTTTTCAAGTAAGTTAAGTAAGAGACTTTTGGYTTCCCCTTTTCCTTTATATGAAAGTGTGGCTTTTCTCCTACAGGGAAGAAACCTGAACAGACATTAGAAATACAAGCAGCAKATAAAACACAGAGCACAATTAGTAATTCTGACTCCAGAAATCTCATGACACTTTTGTTCTTGTCAACAGGCTCTAAATTCACAGCTAAAGAGGAATCAGTTCAAAGCTGCATCCCCCTCAGTTCAACTGCACACCCATTAGATTTTAACGTGTGCTTGTTATGTCCCAGTAATGTCTGGATACATCCAGTGAGTSTAAATTTATTAAATAAATGTGATTTTTCAGATAATGTTGTAAGATAATAACTCAATTTTCAGCATTTCAGAGCACAAGTACTTCTTATTTACACCCTACAGTACAGAAAAACAAGATGGACTGTWTGTTCTGACTTGTGCATGTTAGTCCTTTGAGATTCTATAATTTCCTTTCTTCTAAGTTTGCTTTCACCTGAACAAGGCCCAAGACTGGAGAACCACAGTGGGAAAAGAAGCAGATGTGTTTCCTTTAAGATTATATCAGTGGGTGGAGAGATCCACTACAATCCTTAAAATGAAACTGCTGCKCTTTCCAGCACGAAGATTCCCCTGCTGAGGCAGGTTCCTCACAACTGAGAGCCAGTGTAAACCAACAGAGTCATCAAAGACTGGACCCTGGCCTCCACCCGTTCCTGGCCACGACTGTCCCATGCTCAACACAGAAATCTGTGAGAAATTCACAGAGAACCAGGCTGAGGAAAAGATTTGGGTTTAAACCAAACTTTTTTCATTTTACCCCATGCCAGTTCCTCAGTTCCTCCTTMCTGGTTTCAGAATCATTTGTGCAGGCTTAAAGCAAGGTATGAGGGGAAATGACAAGTGGCATGGGCCTGGCAAAGGTGGCACCTTTCTCTACAGAAATACAGCTCAAGGTGATGAAACTGCACCTCCACTGAGCTTCAAATGCCCAGCTGCTGCATCATACCTGGAAATATCCAGATTCATGTCATCAAGTCCTTACTGATCTCTCCAAAAGGAACCTAAAAAAAAAACCAAACAGAAAAGTAAGCCTAAATATATGATGGATACAGCCCCCAGCAGTTTTTGTGTGTACATACACAACGAACTTGCAGGGACCCTCTGCATCATAACACACCAAACGCCGTGCCTGTGTTTCTCCCCTATTTCTCTCAGGAGTTAGTAGCAAGCTTATAGAACTATACCCTACTCATCTTAAACCTGAAAAAGCAGCGTATGATAACATTCTAGCCACATTTTAACTCTTGCAGAGAAACTGGCTATGAATTGAGAACTGAAGATTCCCTGAGGGATCTTCCATTTRCAACTGCTGCTTCCCAAGCCTGGACAAACCATCACAACCTTGGCAGGTGACAACCCAGCAGCTACAGCAGCACTGTGAGGTCCCTCAGTGCTGCAAGCACTGATTACAAACCCAACTCCTGTAAGAGAAGTCCCAAGGATTTTGACCTTGGAACTGCATTGGAAGAAAAGGAGACAAAGCTGAGGCATGTGCCCAGATGGCTGGAGCCTTCTCACTTGTGGCTGTATTGACTAAATGCTCCTTTCCCATAATCACTATTCACAAGCAGAATTAGCAGSTTTGCAGTTTGATTTCTCTGTATTGAGCCCACATAAGATGCTTCCTAGAATAATATTAAAATAAGTGATCTACGGAGGCTTTTACTTCCTTCCCTGCTCTGTATTGTTYTCTGTCATAAACATGTCAGAAAAGAAAAATTTGGATAAATCTATGAACCTAAAAGCAAATTTCCCCCMAAAAGTTCTGCAGGGAAGAGCATAGGTTATCATACAAAGAGCTAGAATACAGAATAAAATTTAGAAAAACAGAATAAATTTTCTTGTTATGTGTCTCAATGAACAGAAAGCAATTGGACTTTCCTGTCACATTTTTGCTTCTTAAGCCCTCTTGGATATCACCAAAGATTCTCATTGGTTGCCTTTCAGAAAAATTCTGAATTGCTGGAATGCCTGATATAGTTATTTTCATGTTGACTGGACACAGTAAAGCTAGGTTTATARAAGATTGGCTGCTATCAAGATATTRACTTTCCAGAGCTCATGCTCTCCTTCAGATCAGACRTCATTAAAGTTCTGCACYCAAAAGGACATCAGAAACTGTAAGYRGTGTTCAAAAACCCAACAGAAATGCCCTTCCCCAATCTGGGCACCTCAGGAAWTGAAGAAAAGGAGCTCCATCATGAGGAGAAGTTTTAAAAAGAAGCCTTCTTTAGCTCTATTTCTGCCAAAAAAGCATATAGCAGGAAATGGAACTTTTAAGCCTGTGATGATGCCTGCACAAGTACACAACCTCAGGGATTCGGAGTTCAGACAGGTTGGTGTCCCAAACAGACACAGGAGGCAAGAGCAGATAGTTTAGACATCCTCAAGCACCACCAGTCTCTCTTTTGGCAAGGCAGGGTCTCCCCAGACACYTTCCAGCAACATGGGAAAAGGACACCAACTCAGAAGAGTTTTTATTTTGATTAGAGCTGAAATACAGAATTAGTTCCTTAACCACATGTAGTGTTGGCAGCAGGAATTTAATCTTTGCCGTATATGAACAGAAAAGACAAGCCTCTCRCAGTTTCTGGTGTGACAGACAGCAAAACCAAATCAGTTTCTGTGGATTTTGGTAGACTATAACAAAAAGACAGGGCAATAATAAATTTTCATTGCAGGTGTTTGTTCCCTCTTCCTGCCTAGAAACAGTTGCGAAGCTGTGAAGTTGCTACTTCTGTTTTATCTCCTTAACATAACTTCAACACAAGATGGAAATTAGATTAAGAAAATTAATATTATACATTAATTTCAACAGATTTTAACAGCTAATAATGCAGATCAGGTATTCCCAGTAAAAAACATTTTTGGCTCAACTTAAGATGCACTTTTCAATTTTGGCAGCTTCTTTGCTGCTCTGAACACAAGCATCTCACWAAGTCCGTTATCTTCCAGTGTACAACCCCCAGGTTAACAAAAGCTTTGTCTTTTTTTTAAAAAAAAAAAAAAAACAGAAATACAGAATAAAACCCTCTGCATTTTCAAGTCTCATGGTTATCTTGATCAAGCTGAGCTTGTAGATTGATCAATCACCAGCTGAGTCTCACATCTCTCCCGAACTGTCATTGTTGGCTAAAGGAGAGACTGATTCCTTCAGAGGACAAACTTCAGCACATGTGTCCTCACACACATCTTCCATCTGACTTTGGCAAAACTTATCTCACAAAACTCCACGTTACCCTTACAAAAGAAGTAATTGCCTTTAGATGATGATAAACTGATGCAGATAAAGCCRCATTTTCCAATCTGGTGAGATAAARTTCATCTGTCAGACTGCAAATGAACACCAGTCTGTTCCAGAAACACTCACCTGACACCTGACTTCACTCTYACCCACTGGCATTCCCTCCTAAAACCTACCAGCTGGTCTGGCTTTAAACGATTCCAGAAGTGGAATTTGCAGTCAAGTATCTGATTGAACAACTCCAACCTGAAATTAAGATTTGTTTGTTTGTTTGTTTGTTTTTTTGCCATTATCCTGCTTGCATTTTGATCATTACACAAATCTTTCTAAAGCCAGATCAAATCACAAACGAAATCCCTGAGTSTCCTGCCCAGCTTTGCCGTCCTTTTTTTCTGAGAACAGTTTTCATTRTCAGCAAGAAAATCTTCCTTCAGTTCTACGGTTTTTCATGCCAAGGGCTAAAAGCGACACCCT